GAAGTGGGATCTTAGGCATTATTTGCAGAGCTGCTCTGATGATTTGATTGGAGTGGACCAACCAAAATAAAGTCTTTTTTTGTGTATGCAAGTGCTGAGTATAAAAAGTAAATAGGATAAAGTATGCATGAGTGATGCTCTAAATGGACATAGCAAATACAAAACCGAAAGCTCCAACAAACTAGCATTGTTTTTGAGTGCCAACCTATGCTTCATTTCCTGTTGCATCGCTACACATGTTTACGTGATTTACTTCTAGCAGGCTTCTTTTTCGTCAGATCTCGGCGGCAAATCTCCGGAGGGCAAGCTGGTGTTTTTTTGTGAAAAACCAAAAGGGATCGTACGAGCTCTGGGGCGGAGCCAAGAGTTTATTCTTAATTATGACCGCTCCCCCAACAACATGTTAAAGCTTCCCTCCCTTCCCTAGCGGAAATGTTCACGCCTGCGGTCTGAGTATCATTAATCAACTTCAATAACCCCATACACACTTTATTACCGTTCGGAAACCTGCTTTAGTACAGGTTCGATGTTTGTTTCAATGCGGACGTGTGCGAGGGAAATTTATACTAATTTCACAGCCTCCATATAAGCCCGTTGCCCCAAGAAATCGTTGTAATTTTTGGTGATTAAGTCTCCGGCGGAGGACTGAGGGAGTCCTCAGGTCTCCTATACCTATATCCTATAGCAAACACTTTTGTACCTATGATTTTGCCTTCCTTACATCAAGAACGCTTTGTGCACCCCTTAATTCTTAACTTATAGCGCAAAACAAAAGCACCTCCTCTCTTTCTTGCTGAGGCCTAATGTTTGTTCTGCTTGCACGCGTATGTACAGGTAACAAAGGGGGCTTTTGTAATTTTTTGGATTTTTAAATGGGTACTCTCGTAAAGTTCAGTGAGACCTTGCACCGTGACCTGTTCTTCGAAACCTCATATTTGACCGACTGATGTGCACATTTTGGAAGCCCTGTCTTGCAGACCCTCATTCATGTTTTTTTTCCATATTTTTCAATTCTTTTGGATTTTGAGCTTAGAAATGAAATATCAGGTTAACGAAACATGGTAAGATTAATACCTAACAATCTTTCTTTTTGATCTAACGAGTCCCAAAAAGGTAAACGACTCGTATCTGTTCTCGTCATATCTGTGCTCAGCGAGAAGATTGTAGCAATAATGAAGACTGGTTCAAAGTTCAATTTCGGCTTTTTAAACAAATCTACACATATGCCAGGATGGAAGCAATTTCCAGGGCCTTCAAATTTCATCTTATGCTCCAGTCCTAACTTCGAACAAATTTGATCTCCTCCGAACAATCTCCAAACAAAATCAAGCTATAGCTCTCAATACAAAATGTTTTTCAAAACTGGCTCAACGACTATACTGAAGCGAGGCACACGAATTCTTTTGCATTGTTATTGACTTTTAGGAAAATATTCATAGACCTTAAGTAAAGACGAAATTCTCATCGATGTGTTCTATAAAAAACATAATTTTTACATTTATGTATTTCCATTTCTCACCTTCAAAATCCACATTTATAAGATTTGGGAAAAGAAGTCTTATTGTTTAAAAAAAGGCTTTCAGATTACACGCTTCAATTAGTCCAAATTC